TTTTCGTAGTTATTAACCGAACCAAACCGACTTACGTGATTATGGTGCGGCTATGGTATGACAAAAAATTTGGTAGTGCGATTATCGTTTTGGCCAAACCAACCCCGAATCGAACCGTTGCGATTCCAAAATATAACTCCAGTAGAGCTAAATAACATTTATGTTTCTAGATCGAAAATACTACTGCAACTAATTTTATGTTTCTAGATGGAAGGTAGCTTCATTGATGTGCAAAATCTTGATTCAATTGCTCCTCGTCTTTGTCTATTTCGGGATTGAATTGTCTTCTTACGTAGTTGAGGATCAGAAACTACTCAAATTTGGGTTTTGGATTTTTTGAAATCTTCATTTGTATTAATCTCAATTAATATTATTTTTTGTGGAATATAAGCGTCTGTTTTCTTTACTGTTTTCATATCATTTTTAATTTTCAGTTTTCGAAAATGTTGAAAACGCGTTTACTTACCTATTTTTATAAACGAATTTCCAAAAACGAGTTTAAAATTTACAAAGAAAATGAAAAACGCCAAAAAAGTCATTTTCGCTGTTTTCAGTTAAAATCAAGCCAAAACTTCATTTTTTATTTTTGAAAACAATTTTTCAAAATAACAAAAAAAAAAAAATTTTTAGCAATCTCAAAATAGATACTCAAAACTAAAAATTGAAACACGAAGAGAACGCCCATAAGCTTTCCTGCTCTGTGAAATGGGCATGTGGGATTTGTGAACTTGCAACCTGAAGTTTGGATAGTCAAGCCCCATTTTTGTTGAGGCTTTGAAAGGAAGTTTGGACAGCCAGGTTCCATGCCATCTTCAGATCTAGAGAAAAGAAATTTGGGAGATTGAAAAAAACAGAGATGATTTATAAAGAGAAAATTAAGAAGAGATGGCAATGGAGAATCGAAGAGGTGGTGGCTAAGAATGATTTTTTTATTTATTTTCTCCTTTTATTATTATTATTATTATTAAGAGGTGGTGGCTAAGAATGATTTTTTTATTTATTTTCTCCTTTTATTATTATTATTATTATTATTATTATTATTTATTTATTTATTTTTAAATATTATGCAATTCTATTTAGTACTATCGGTGTTTAACATCAGTTGCCCCTGTTTGGCCCCCATTATTTTGCATTTTTGGGAGGTTGAAATTTTTTAAAATAGTGATTGATGGGAGAATGTGTGGTTAAATTTTTTTGATTTTTGTGTAATATTATTTATTTGATGAATGTGTGGTTGAAATGAAGAGAGATAAAAATGTAATGTAATGTAATGTAATTTAATGGGGCCAAACAAGGGCTAGGTGGTAGGACTAGGGATGGCAAAAAAGTTCGCCAACTCGAGCTCGAGCTAAGCCTCATTTTTTTGGCCGGATTTTACTCGGCTCGAGTCCAAAAAAGCTCAAGTAGAGCCCAAAATTTTTTATTTAATTTATAGTACGTATAAACCGTACAAATTTTAAATTTTTTAAGTAAAAATGTTGATTTTACATTAAAAAGATAAAAAAACCCCGAACGGCTCAGCGCGGTCCGCTCAGGCTCGGGCAGAAAGCTCGAGTCGACCCTCATTTTTTTTGGTCGAGCTTTGCTCGGCTCGGCTCGGGCCCAAAAAAGTTTGGCCTAAAAAAGTTCGAGCCGAACTTGAGCTTTATTTTGGGCTTGGCTCGGCTCGTTGACATAGTTTGGTGGGACTAGTGACATTAATTACATATTCAATTAAATAAATCACATAATTTCATCTTTAATTGAATCTATCATATAATGTCATATAGATTGGTACACCACTGATGTTAAATAACATTATTTTTAATTATTTTATGTGGAAAAATATAAATTACCTTTTATCCTTTTTAAAATTGGTCAAATGAAGGTTAGACATTTGACTTTNATTATATGTGGAAAAATATAAATTACCTTTTATCCTTTTTAAAATTGGTCTAATGAAGGTTAGTCATTTGACTTTTGGCCAATTAATGAATTTTTGGATATAATCCATCAAGCAATCCTGTCGTCGCACGAGTTTGAAAGATTTAGGACCACCTTTGCTATAAATCAAAAGTTCAGGTGAACCTCAAAAAAATGAAAAGATTTGGGACAACAGTTGCAATTATCCATTATTTAAATGAAAAATAGTTAGGCCTTAATTAAAAGAATTTAATGTGGAGTCACCATCCATTGAAAATACTCATATTTATGATATTCATCATAGCCCAGAATCTCAATTTCTTCAAGGAGAGAAAATAACTTGTATAGTGAGAGAATACGACGAATAGAAACTGGTTTTGGGGTTTGGTTAACGTTTGATGTGATTCAGGGGATGCTGAAAGAGAGAAGAATTTGAAGAAAAACTGGTGATAGAAAGGTGGTTTTGTTACTGAAGAGACGAAAACAAAGGCGGTTTTGTAACTGAAAAAGTAAGAGAAAATCCGCAGAAAGGGCATCCTTTTTCACTCTTGAATGCTGTTACACAGGCTATCTTCTCATCTATACATGCACATTTATGTATCTACATAAATATAGAGAGATAAACTGAGTTACAGAGAGAGAAAGAGAGAAAATGCATGAAAAGGAAAAAATATTAAGTGGGTTTTGTTTGGATTATTGATTGATTGATGATGACGTTAAATGGCGGTAGGTTGAAGTGCGTGATAGGATCGTTTCTTTCTTCTTCAAGATTTCCCCCTTTTTTTTTTCTTTTCTTTTCTAGGATTTTATTACAGGTCATAGTAAGTATTTAGTAACTCGGAAGGGCCAAAACCTTTTCCATCTTTGTCATTCTTTCTTTCTTCTTCAGCTTTGAATGGATCATGCTGATGGCGTCCCAGCAGGAGGAGCCTCTCATGTTAATACTGGTGAGAGTCCATTTTTTTTTTTTGCGGTATGTGAATTTCAGTTTAGTTTTCTGGATTTTTGGTTGTTTTGGAATTTTTGAAAATCAGAGAATGCAAAATTTTGAAATTCTTAATAATTTTTTTGTGTTTTACTAATTGGGTGTGTCTTTAAGTACTTTTCCTTAATTTTTCTGGGCAGAATAAGCACTTTTAGACTGATATTACTATTATATGTTCCTTTGGTTGATTTGTGTTTGGTAGGTGTACAACATGATGATCTGTATAGGGAACTATGGAAGTTATGTGCAGGACCTTTAATGGATGTTCCTCGCAATGGTGAAAGAGTTTATTACTTTCCACAGGGTCACTTGGAACAAGTAGGCGATTCTCGTCCGACTCTAGAGAGAACTTTTATCTGTTTTTTGATTTGTATTTTGATCATTGCATATTCGATTTGCAGTTAGAGGCATCGACTAACCAGGAGTTGAATCAACAAATCCCCAGGCTCAATCTTCCTTCGAAGATCCTTTGTCGTGTTTGTCATGTTCATTTGCTGGTAATTTTCTTTTCCTTCTTCTGATTTCTGGTTCAAATTGTTTAATGTTGTAACCATTTTTTTTCCTCAATTGATAGGCTGAACGAGATACAGATGAAGTTTATGCCCAGATCACATTACATCCCGAACCAGATGTAAGCAGTTTACCTCGTTACAATCGCTTATATTTACATGAGTCCTGTTTAGAATGATGAATGATTCAGCTTTTGAGTGGATAAAGTGTGAAAATTAACTATAGTTAAATGATTTTACAATTATTGCTATTCTTGTTCTTCAGTCCTTTTTGATGTTGGGAAGAACATTATATTGTATAAACATTTGTTGATCTTATATTTTCATTCTTGTAGCGTACTGAGCCCTCCAGTCCCGATCTCTGCCCTCCTGAACCACGAAGGCCAATAGTTCACTCTTTCTGTAAGATTTTGACAGCTTCTGATACTAGCACTCATGGAGGTTTTTCTGTTCTTCGGAAGCATGCTACCGAATGCCTGCCTCCATTGGTAAGTAATTACTTTTGACTCTCATTTGTTATCGTAAATGTTGAGCACATATATGATAATGACGATGGCTTGCTTGATTTATCAAAAACATTGCCCACAAAATTCACTCCACGTAAGAAGATATGGAGGTTGTCTCACCCCAGTCAAGGCAAATAGGCCATGATGTAGGAGATCTGTGGGCTTCCAAGTGCACGTTTATGCAGTGAACATCTGAACAATCACAGACTGAAATCTAAGGGTTATTTTTTGGCTTGGTTTCTTCTATTCTAGCATGTGTACTACGTTTTCACAGTCAATGCTTTTTATATACTATTAAAATGTTATGTTATCAAGCGTTTGAAATGTTCTGATATGAGATGCTATTCCTGATCATTAAGGATATGAGTCAAACAACCCCAACCCAGGATTTGGTTGCTAAAGATCTTCATGGATATGAGTGGCGATTTAAACATATATTTCGAGGTAATAATATGATATCTTTGTATGTATATATTATTGGAGAATTCACTGTTTTTATCATCTATCTAGGTTGAGAATATAAGCTTGGGTTTGCCACCAAGCCTATCCATTGCAAAGACAATCATTTTAAAATTACTAAGTGCATTGGATAAGACTCGACCATATAATAGACAATTACATGCAATCAGGTCAACCTCGGAGACACTTACTCACAACTGGATGGAGTATGTTTGTCACCTCAAAGAGATTAGTTGCAGGCGATGCTTTTGTTTTCTTGAGGTGGTTTTCTGTTCTGCCCATCGACATCTTCGCCTTTGATTAACACTATCTATATATGGTGGCCTTATTTATGTGATTTATCACTACTCTATTGCAGGGATGAAAATGGGGAATTGCGTGTTGGTGTTCGACGTCTTGCTCAACAACAGAGCTACATGCCGCCTTCTGTCATTTCCAGCCAAAGCATGCATCTTGGAGTGCTCGCCACCGCCTCACATGCTATTACGGCACAAACACTATTTGTGGTGTATTGCAAACCAAGGTATGGCACCATTTCTCTTCTTAAATTTGACACAATCTTCTCTGCCATATTAAACTCCCGATTTATTTATTGCACTATATGAGTGATCAGGACGGGCCAATTCATTATTCGGTTGAACAAATATTTAGAGACCACATGTCATGAATTTTCAGTGGGCCTGCGTGTGAAGATGAAATTTGATGAAGAAGATTCTCCCGAGAGAAGGTTCTTCACTTGTTTTCTGTTCCGAGCTGTTTTTGGTCTTTGAAGCTTATAAAATCTCAATGTATACTCAATTCACGTGTATCTTTCCAGGTTCATAGGCACTATTGTTGGTGTTGGAGATATCTCGCCGCAGTGGACAGACTCTGAATGGCGCTCATTGAAGGTTAAACACTGTCTTTAAGTTTTTTCTCATACATTGGTATGTTCTTGCTCATCCTCTCATTGTAATATTTTTCTTTTCAAAATTATTTCTCCTTTTAGATTCAATGGGACGAACCTGCAACCGCACAGCGGCCAGAGAGGATCTCACCATGGGAGATAGAGCCTTTTGTAGCTTCTACTTCTGTAGACATTGCACAACCAGCAAAAAAAATCAAAAAGCTTCGTCCTCTTGATCTGCCACATAATGGTATATTTACATCTTTTAAGTGAACCAACAATGATGTTTTTGAGAGATGACTTTGTTGAGGATTAAGCCCTAATCCCACAGAATAGAAACACACACAGAAACACAGTTTTATTGTAGTTCACCCTTAGTCTGAGAGCTATATCTCCTAGTGAAACTAGGGTGACTTAATAAACAAAAGTAAATGCATGCTCAATATACCCCCATAATAATTAAGAGTATAACTAGGCTTTATAAATTCTAACAAATTTGTGGTGGCAATTGTAATATAGAAATTACAGTCAATTCTGTTGCTGTCCTCTTTTATGCAGGATCAACTACGTCCGTTGAATTGAGCCACATGGGTAATACCATTGAAGTCCAAACTAATGAAAACCAAGCTTTCCAGCCTTCAAAAGATAAAGATCTGAATAGCAGCGCTCCGAACAACAGTGGCTTTTGTAGTTCTAGATCCCATCCTGGTGGAATGCAGCCACCTACTTTGCTTTTGAATGGTTCTCTAAACCATTTTCAAGAATCTATAGAAGTTAATAAAATTGTGGCAGTCCCACCTGTTCTTTTCGATTACAAGTCTCCTTTCTCATCAAGGGGAAATTATATCCTTGAACAAGTTGAAAGCAGTAAAAAGTTGGAGAATTCTTCATTCTGCCGGTTATTTGGTGTTGATTTGAGGACCAATTCATATAATATCCCTCCAGCAGAGAAGGTAGTGCCCTGTCCAAACATCGATGTCCAGGCTCCAAGTAACAGATCAGAAGCTGGTTGGATGAAAAATCCCGATCACTTGAAAACATCGAAAGAAAAACAATGTGTTCAAGTGGAAGGGCTATGGAAGGATAGACAAAGCAAGCAAAGTTTTGTTTCATCTTCAAGAACCCGTATTAAGGTGAGTTCACCTTATTATATGAATTTCAAAATTATCATTTAGGACATAGAAATCCATTTGTTTTGTTTTTAGGTGCAAATGCAAGGGATTGCCGTTGGACGTGCTGTTGACTTGACTGCATTGATGGATTATGGTGGCCTTATTAACGAGCTGGAGAATATGTTTGAGATTAAGGGAGAAGTTGGTCATCAAAACAAATGGAAAGTAGTTTACACCGACGATGAGGGGGACATGATGCTCGTAGGCGATGATCCATGGCCGTGTGTAGCTTGAAACTCTTGATTTTCGACGGTTTAATTATATCAGATAATTTTTGACACTTGCTCTTTTATCTTTGATCCATTGCAGGGAATTTTGTAAGATGGTCAGGAAGATTTGCATCTATTCAAGTGAGGAAGTGAAGAAAATGAATCTGACATGCGAATTTCCATCTTTGTCGCTAGAAGGTGAAGGCACCGTAGCAAGTTTAGATTCAGAACGAAAATCTGAAGCATAGAAATCGTTCTGTGGTTAAGAAGCCTTCCTAAATAGGTAGCAAAAGCTAATGAAGTGAACCTTATGAAGGACACTCTTGAAAGTTTTTAAGTACCAAGTACTTTGGTTTTGTAATATGAGGTTTTCGTTTGATTGACAACTCTTGAGTCTGTAAAAAGTGTAGACATGCTTTTCTTATGATGAATGGCAAGCTAATGTTTGTACTTTTGTGGAATGTCTCCTGTTTGTATTTGTATTGTCTACAGGGGGAATCAGCAATATACCTTAGCTGGCGGTTTGTACCTGTATTTATAGAAAGACGCTTCTGTTTTTGGTAATGCGTGATCTATAAGAATTAAGAAAAATAGAAAGTAAGAAATATTTGTCCTTTACTCCGTCCAATCTTGTTCAAGATTGTGTGCTAAACATATCCTCAGATTTTCATTTAATGTAGTTGTCGAAAGTGTATATAGATTGGATCCGATGTAAAATTATCGAGTATAATTCCTCACAATCTTATTTACTTTCTAACATTCGATCAATTTTAGACGATTTGTGGAGAACTTTGACCACTATGCTGTTTCTTTGACATCACCCTCCTTTACAATAATAAAATGCTTACATTAGGACACGTGTTTGATATAAATCCATAATAGTTTTGAAATATAAATTAATTAGATTGTTCATTAGTGGAAAAGCCCTTTTGGGAAGAAAACAAAACTTCAAATAAAGTTGAATTTGCTTATTAAACTTGCATTTTGGTATATTCACTGAATTTAAGTTCAGACATATAAAGCAGGGACACTGCCTATGATGAGTCTGCTGAGATGGCTCTTTTGTTATTTTCTAGTAAACTTCTGTCTGTATTGAACCTCCATAAAATATTTTTAGAGTGAGAAAATGAATTATGTCCATTACTTTTGAGGTTCTCTCTTCAAAAGTATTTCCAAATTCTGTTTCTTCCTGTTTGCATGTATTTTAATTTTTTTTAAATTTTTATAATTCAATATTCACACCACGATTTGAAACCTTCAGAGAGAGGGTGGAATGCACCTAAGCTCATATTCCTTTGGCTCCTCTTTCTACAAATGATACCAAGGGCTTTTGCCAATGGAGTCCAAAATTAATTAGTTCTGTAGGATTTCATTACCTTTTTCATCATATCAAAAGTAAACAAACGTGATTGATATATTTTCATGCACCAAATTTCCACTAGTAGTAATCTGTAATCATATAATTATTTGGTGTAGTGAATTTTTGACGTCAAAAAGATAATGTATATGAAGAAAAATAAGCTAAAATTTCGCTCAATACCGTGTAAAATTTCCTTTTCATTATGGGGATCACAGAACATGCCTTTATATTTGTATACTTCATTTCAATTTGTATACAAAGTTAAATCCAGTCCAAAACATGCCTTTATATTTGTATACTTCATTTCAATTTAACTAAAACACTTGGCAATGTTTTAAACTCTGGCCAGGTTATTCTTCCAATCGAACCGATTGATGCTGCCCGTTTAAAACTGATATTTGGTTAAGATTAGTCAAAGAAAGTTGGAAAATATTACAAATATTTCATTACAAGGGCTATGTTGCAAATCTTGGTCCAACTTTCTTCGACTCACAACTTGCATTTACAAGTAAAACTGCAGCTAAGTACAGTTCATGAGTTAATTGCTATTCTTTTTCTCTGGATTCTTGAAGCCATATTGAGCTTCAATTTCAGCAGTGATTGATCATATTACCCACTTCTGTACATACTTTCTATGATTTCGGGTTTGAATAACAAACTTGTTTCCATGTACGAATTGATAGAAATGGACAACAAAGCCATTAAAAGAAGCTATAACAATGTGGAAATAGATGCAGAGATTGAAACATAAGCGTCGTTAAGAGTAGCAAAAAAACAAATCTTACGTGTTTACATGTTTAATTTGCCACCTACGTGTACCCAATAAAACATTAAATGAAACTTCCTAATTTATTCTGAGTCTCTGATTACCATGGAATTAAAAGGGTAAAGAAGTATTAGAAAGACCTCTGGAATTATCTCTTAGACCAGATCAGCCTTGTTTCTTATCAGTCATACCAGCAACCACCTGCAAGGGAAGAACTTTAAACAATCGTAGAAGAAAAGGCCTTTTCTCATGGTACCAAAGAAAGTAAGAAAATTCGGCATTCTAAGAAATTCTTGCCACAAGAATATCTTGACATATTGGACATAGCAGTAGTGTATTTCATAATTTAAACTACAGGGAAACTAAAGACATTCTCATACAGGGAAACTAACTATTCACACCTGAATTGCCAGAGCTACTATTAGATATTAGGCCCTGTTTGATAGGGTTTATATTTCATGGAAGTTGAAAATTATTTT